GAGAGAGAGAGAGAGAAGCAAACAAGAAAACAAAACCAAAAATGATAGATTGAGGGAGTCGGGGAAAAGGAGGGAAAGGGGTGGAGTGGAACTCACCTGTCTGTTCAGGCGCTGGTTCAGGTTCAGGTTCAGCCTCCTGCTCTCCATCTTCGTTTTCTTCATCCTCGTCTTTTTGTTCAGGTTCTTCTTCTTGTTCCTGCTCCTCTTCTTCTCCATTCTCCCCCTCCTCCCCCTCCTCCCCCTCCCCCTCCCCACCTTCTTCCCCTTCTGCCTGCGGCTTTTCGCCCTCTGCCCCCTCTTTCTTCTCTGTCTCTGCCCCCTCAGCAGCAGCAGCTGCACCCTCCTCGTCCTCCTCCTCCTCTTCCTCTGGTGGCTCTGGAGGCTTGCAATAGTGATTGAAAACTGCCAAATCCTCCTCTTCATCCTCAACACTTCAGCTCATCAAGAATTCACACAGAAAAACAAAATAATTTGTCAACTTACGGTCAAAAAAAAAAAAAAAAAAAGAGAACTTCCTATTCAAGCCAGCTGTTTTAGAGGAGTAGAGGGAGGAGGAGAATTGAAAACTGCCATGTCATCCTCTTCCTCCTTGGAGCGACAATTTTGGAAATTGGCAATTTGGCACAATTCAAAAAAAAAAAAAAAAAAAAAAAAAAAGGTCAAATGACTCAAATCGGAATTCGAAGTTTCAAACAAAATGTTCTTGAGGAGGAGAAGAGAAGAGGCGAAGGAAGGAGGAGGAATAGGAGGAGAATAGGGAAGGAGGAGGGGAAGAAGGAGGGGAGGGACTTCGAGGGAGGAGAAGAGAAGAGGAGAGGGGAGGAAGAGAAGGGGAGAGGAAGAGAAGACGGAGGAGGAAGAGGAGGACTAGGAGGAGAATGGGAAAGGAGGAGGGGAAGGAGGAGGAGTAGGTGGAGGACAAGGAAGAGGAAGAGGAGGAGGAGGAGAAGGAGAAGGTGGAGTAGGAGAAGGAGAAGGTGGAGTAGGAGAAGGAGAAGGTGCTCATTGCTTCCACGGATAGACCACACGACAACGTCGGACAAACATTTCCAGTCATTTTTTACACAAATTTATGTGGGCCTGGTTTCACTACTACTCTCCAATCTCTCGATACGCCAAGTTTGGCGAGTAGGCGCCTGGTTGGTTGCACTTACTCGCCAAACTTGGTGCGTGGAAACTTGTCAAAACTTTTGGAGAGTTTCCTTTTTCAATCCGCCACACAGAGCGGCGAGTTCCCGACTCTCTACTGCTAATTTTTTGTGGAGGGTCATGCAGATGACCTCTCCACAAAACAACTTCTGGGCGAGTGCAGCCTTTCACGAGACTGTGGAGATCAGCCAGACAAAAAAAAAAAAAAAAAAAACTTTTCTGTTGAAGAAATATAGTGGCGAGTAAGTGCAAGAAGGCCTCCAGTTCCACACGACCAGATACATGCAGGGGGGACCGCCTGGATGTATCTGGTCTCAAGCTTGGTCCATATACATCCAGGGGGTCCAGCGTTTTAAAAACGCCGGACCCTGAAGAGCAGCAAATTTAGATGAGTTTTGGGCCAAAAAACTCAGTTTCAATTTCGTTCGAAAAATTAAAAATGTCCATTTTGACGAAATGGCAGTTCTAGTTTCTTTCACTCGCCAAACATCCGCCACGAGACGAATTGTGGCGGATGGAGAGAAGTGCAAGTAGGCCCTATGCAATGTACTTGCCTCTGGGAAAAGGCCTGATGCGCACACTATCACCTGGCTGTATGTGTAGGGTGAGTACATATTGAGTATCCGAGTACTGTCATTATGCATACGTCAGTGGGCTAGCAAAAGACTGGGCGACAAAGATGTATCAAAGGGGGGCTGGACCCGATTTCCGGCAGGTGCTGCTCCCCACAAATAGATGGAGCTTCCCTGATGGTGCTAGATGTCTCTGCTCTTATCAGCACACCTAGCATCCGATCGGGTTGATTCAAAAAAAAAAAAAAGAATTGAACAGGAAGTATTATCGACCATTATTACTTCCCAGACGTAGTTTACAATGTGATAACTAGGTCCCCACAAACCCATCTAGATTGCATGACATGGCTACGCCGGACCCGGACCCGGACCCGGACCCCAACCAGGACATTGCCGGACGTCTGGCCAGATGCAAATCTGGACCCATCCAGATGTCCGTACCCGTACCCGTAGGAATTCGTCATTCATGACATGGCTACGAGATGGCTACGATGTAGGTGGAGCAATTCATCGTTCATGACATGGCTGCGCCATTCATGACACGGCGAAATAAACTGAACATAAGTGCTTCGTTAAAAAAAAAAAAAGAATTCCAAAAGATCCGAAAGAAATTATGTTGTGCAGAACAATAAACTGAACAACTTTTGCCTCCGGGTCGGACCGAAATTCTTTGCAAAAGTAAAACATATTTAAATAAACAAATATTGAAATATATATATATAGTCAAACAGACATATATAAATCCTTTTTATATTCATTTTTGGCCCGGCCGGGCAAGTGATCCCCCACCACCGTGACTCTGGTACCATAGGTAATAAGCCAGACAAACAGAGCTAACTCAAGCCCACACCAAAGTGGACAACACAGGTGACTCTCCTTAACCCTAAAGTCCTTCAGAGTATACCAGAGTTAACTCTAGTATAAATTAGAAAAGACATCAGAAGTTCACGGATCTCACGGGACTTGAAAAGCAAAGTCAAAGCGCACTTGTTCAGGGGCAAAATAGGAAATAGTTGAGCACAGCATATGGTGTCCCCGACGCGTTTCGACGGCTTCCGGCCGCACCGTCCTCATCAGGGGGTTCCCACCATCTCACCCACACTAGTCGGCCTTCCCCTCACCCTCTCGCGTTCCTCCCCATAGCTGGCTTTGGGACACCAGTGGTGGTTCCGGAACATTAGTCCCAAAGTCCCAAAGTCCCAAAGTCCTTCAGAGGAGCAGACCAGAGTTAAATCAACTCCACACCAAAGTAGACTTGAGTTAACTCAGTTCCTAGGCTACCAGAGTGGCCGGGGTCCACTTGCCTGGCCGGACCTAAAAGAAATTAAAAAATAAAAAAACAAACATTATTTTTTAATTAAAATTTTTATTTTAAATTTAATAAAGAATTTCGATGTAACCCTGAGGCAAAAGTTGTTCAGTTTATTTTTCTGCATAACATAGTTTTTTTTCCGTTTTTTCCGTTTTTTTTTTGTTTTTTTTTTGGCCGGGACCTTCCCTGGTCCTTGCACGGCCGGGCCGCCCGGGAAAATAAGGTGACCCGGGCGGCCCGGCTGGTAGCCTAGCTCAGTTGCAATTTAAAAATGCAAAGTCCTTTTCAGGACATCCGTTAAAATTGGAACAATGCAGAGAAGGGAAGATTAGGATGGGCCCTGCGGAAGAAAGAAATGACAAAAAAAAGAAAAAAGAAGAAAATATGCAAGATATGCGACATGAAATACAATTAAAAAGTAAAAGCATCCGCGATATCTGCAGATTTTTATTTATTTATTTATTTATTTATTTATTTATTTATTTATTTTTGGGAGGGGGTGCGGGGGTGAGGGCGAGATATTTGTTGATCGAAAATAACTGGGGGAGGAAAGGGGGGGGGGAAAGAAAAAGAAAGAAAAAGGGCGAGTATCAAGGAAAAAAGAAAAGTCGGGGTGCATCTAGCTAGTCACTTTTCTCAAAATTAAAACAAGAACAAACGAGAAAGCATGCCCCCTC